CTGGCTTGGTTGCCACACTGCAAACTTAACTGACAGGATTTCGATAGCAGCAGACACTAGACAGATTGATATTGGCAAACACTGGACGCTTTTGCATTGGGGAAACATAAGACCAACAGGTTAACTTTTAGCAGCATCGCACTCCGATAAAATGCCAGTCGACAGTGATGATGACCGTATACTTCACATTAACAAATTAAAACCGAATTTATATTTAACAAAACCAAAAAGGATAAAAACATCAATTTTAATCAAAGTGGCAACAAGTAAAACAGTGCAAAAATGCATCAAGTTGTGTAATTCAACAGCCACAAATCTCAGACTGCAGGATAATGACCTGATTTTAGATCGAGAAAACAAACTATTTTGACATTACATGTTTTCAGTCGCACGTGATAACGTGATAAATCAATGTAAGTATTAATTATCCTATAGAAAATGTGAAGAATGGTAGATTTTTCACTCAATTCATTTTTTCTCTCACCACTCTGAATTAACAAAAATGCCTTTTTTTTCAAATTACGACTAAATAATTACATAATTAGTTTAAAAAAAAAACAATAATTCCATCCACCTTTAAAATCTATTAGATTAAGAGAAATGATTATATAGAAAGCAAACAATTAAAAATAAAAATAAATGTGGAAATGCCAAAAATGTAAGACAGTTTGCAAATGAATCTAGGCGGTACATTAGTTGGCATTTCTATAAAGTACATGAATCACTTTGAGTAATGGTGTAGTAAAGTACGTTATATTTTGAATTACGGAAATAATCAGTAAATAAGTTGTACTTAACAACCTAGTAGTAGTCTCATATCTAAAATACGTTCTCACTTGATTCAGTGATGGAATAAATGAATACTTGTGCAACAGAAGCATATTTTGGGCCACTATTTTCGTATATTCAGAGCTTATCTACAAATTGAAGCAAGTCAATACAGGGGGTTAGGGTTATATGATTAATGCGTTGTGTGGGGGGGGGGGGGGGAAGGCGGTTTCAATTTATTCCATGACGAAATCTCCCAAGACAAACTAATTCACTCTTAGAGCCACCTTATTTTACACCCAACCTTATTCAGATCACTAAAAAACCATAACTGAATATTAGTATGCGGAATTATGAGCATAGGAAAGCTTATTTCCTGTTAGCCTAATGATTTTAACGAAATTTATTCACACTTTAGCGCAGATATTTGTGAGCCAGTTATCACCATATCATTAATTCGAAGATAAATGAAACTAGATGGTTGTAGGCAATCGGCAGGAAGCCTTGAACCTAGGTTTCGTGCTAGTTGGCACTGATAGAATACAATATGCACAGAAGTAAGTGCTAGACACATTACACTAGTTATTAGTGTCCAATCAAAGTATCCAATCCAGTTTTACAGGAGGTCAATCGCGAACCTCAATAGCTCAGTGGTAACGTCTCTGACTGCAGCACTGGTTGACATCCATTCGAATCTCAGAGGAGACATGAGTCCCTTCGAGGTTACAGATACGCACTGCTGACTGGTGAGTACCAACTAACACGAAACTGATGTCCAGCAAGGCTTCTTTCTGACCGCCTCCAAACATCTAATATCATCAAATCAATGTGCATCGTGATGGCTAGCCGCCTAGAGTGGTGGCCACAGTGCAAACCTAACTGATAGAATTCAATCTGCACCAAATAAAGGACCAGACACATCATACTAGTTACTAGTGTCCAATCAAAGTATAAACGAAACTGTTTTATCATTAAAGAATATAAAAGTTTAAACGTACAGTACTTTCTAGAAAATACAGAACACAGAAGCTATCTAGTGAGTTGTATAATTTTGAATCACGTATTTGTCTCTTTTCTGGTGAAACATGAATTAATAGTGTGGATAAAGTTTGGAGGCTAATGCAGTTCTATAGTAAATGCGCTATATAGCTTACTCAACAGAGAGAATTTATTAAGTTGAAAAATTATAAAACAGAAATATTTTTCTTGCACTTGTGATTACATGATATTCATTAATTTGGGTTTTTCCATTGCTTTAGGTACCAGTGGAATATACGATTTCAAGCTACGAAGTTTTAGTAGTGGTAGTGTTTCCCTCCAAGAGGTTGGATTGCTAGCCTCAATCCCAACCTCCTCACTTTTTCGAACTTTCTACCTACCAGCCATCAAACTAGGTGAGTTTTAGAAGTGCATCAGTCACTAATCGAATCCGGACCTCTCACGTGGCTAATCGACATTCTATCACCGATTTTATTAAAAAAGAATTTATTCCTGGCGACAAATAGTTCATTTTATAATTCTAACAAATGCAAAATAGAGACAGTAAACAGAGATATGAGGCAAAAAGAATAATAATATCGAAGAACAATACAATTTTATTGGGTATTATCAGTCGCAGGGAGTGGATACATTTGCGCCAGTCATTGAGAACTATTTTGAGCCATATCACCAAATGTCTCCAACGGTTGGTGTTTACCGCCCCAAGGACCCCAACCAGGAAGTCTATATCTTCCTACGTGGCTTAAACTAACTGACTGATGACGCCATGTTTTTGGTTTGACCACTATTGGCTCTTTTCCCACCTCACCCAATATCAGCTAACATTGATCGTCGAGGAAGGCGATGACTAGGCGTACGTAACACATGTTCTAACCATCTCAGTCTATGTAACTTCACAACCTCGTCGATTGATTTCCCCTTCTTACCTAGCACTCCACGCCTAACCTCAATATTGCTCACCCTACTATACCATTTCACACGACAGATAGAACGCAGACACATATGACCAAAGACAGCTAGCCTTTTCATGTCCTTTACTCTCAAAGGCCAGGTTTCACAGCCATAAAGGAGGACGGAGCAGACTGCTGAGCAGTAATCATGCTCTTTGGTCGACAGCCAGCCGGATATCCCGTCTACGCCAGAGACAGCGTAAACTGGCATATACGAAACTAGCCTTCTCTATCCGAGCTCAGATTTCGTCAGTGATCAACCCGTTGGGGCTGTTACAGGTTATGAGACGGGTACATTAGCATTCGGCCATTGGGTTAAGACCCATTGAGGGTGAATTTAGTTGAACAGGAGAACAGATACTCACGTATGACATTAGACGTTGGTGATGCTGTATTACTAGTTGATAGAAGTTGGGATTTTTGAGCCGTTTGGTCCCGTGTTTCTGAATCATACAACATCTATTATTATTGGTATTCGGATATGAAGATAAGAGAAAGTAGTTCAGTAAAGAGTCTCTTCTCAATGAGTTTATCTACAATCACACTTATATACAACTTTTTCGTGAGCATACACGTGTGTCTGCTTAATGTGTTGATTCCTCCAAACAACTAGTCTGTCAGAAAAACAAAAACAAATCAGAGTATCCTTCTTACCAAAAAATAAACAAGTTAAAAAAAATAATTGCAAACATTGAAAACTAATCGAAATATAACAGAAAGTGTGTGAAGACTAGTAAGTTTGGATTAATGGTTGTGTACTATTATGAATTATTTGTAAAATCCAGTGTAGTTAGAAAGAGAATAGAAGTAAAAATTATCAGACATTTCATATAGATAGGATGAGTAGAACAAACAATAACAATAGCTTAGAAAGATAATATCGAAGGGCACGGCCGAAAATCAAGTCTGAAGTTATGATCAATACACATGGAATAGTTAGACAAGATTCCTAGGCGTACATAGATGAGAGTTATTCATATGGCTGACTATAATTTCAGAAATGAAAAATAAGCAGTCTATTTAAATAACTGGGCCACCTAAATTTCCATTCAGTATAACGCGCATAGATTCATCTGCATTTCTTACTGTTTTAATTATTCAATTATGTATTTCGATCACTACATGAACTCATACAGATTTTTACCTTGATATCCATGTAATGAAGAGAACTTATCAAAGGAAATGAGAAGAAAATATGGTAGATAATCGGTTATTGCTATAGATGAAACAAAGTGGCATCACACGGCATACTACTGAATACTATTTTACTTGAAAATCTTGTGTGAATAGTAGATATTTTATCATTTAAATACGCCGAAAATTCTGTACTATGTGTTAAAATATTGTCTAGAATAAAGCGATTTTTATTATCATCTCCTCCAGGTCTTCCTCTACTCTGTAAATAACTAAGAATGAATTCTTTCGATACTGAATGACAATGCACAATAATCATAATAATATGTTAGCACCAAAAAAAAATAGACAGGAAGTTGGATTTTGTGACAAAAAAAAAGGAGACAGCTTCTCCTGCCTATACGAAGTAAACCCTCCCTAATCGTAATGATAGTGTTGGTTTTTGAGGATTCCATTGGTCACAGGATTTCATCACGAGCTGACATCGGTTAGATAACCACTGGAAAACCTGGGAGTATTGGACAACTGTTTCGTCCTAGCCAGGGTTCGAACCCAGGACCTACCGGTTACAAGACGAGGTCTTAGTCCATTCAGCCACTGGGACTTGATCCAACGGCCAGTCCATGAATTCCAACTTTTGCCAATTCACGATATAGCGTGACCACTAGCTAATGTCATGTCATTGGTGAATATTGGTCCTCACACCCGACCTGCTGTACCTCATCGGTCACGACTTCTCACTAGAACCTTAGGTAATTGTCCACCTGATTAGGGCTAGTGGCTAGTGAGCATCAGACTGATATTCAAATGTTGCATTTTATAGCCAACGTCAGCTCCTGCCCAGCGCAAGAGTTGACCATAACACAAAACTATATATGATAGTGATGAATATGATCATGTTCATAGATTGTAAATATCACTATAAGATCAGTGGATGTAAAAATCATTGTACAATCTCTCAAACAGAGAATGCCTATCACTGAAAAACCTACACTGCTATACAAACAGGATATATAAAGGCGAAATGGCAAACAAATGAATTCATTATCGGATTTGTGATTGTAAATGCACAAATACAATATTTACAAACACACACACACACACAAATACACAGAGATCAAATTAAATAAATGAATGAAGTATACTCACCTCAAATTGAACAAAAATATGCATATTATTCGGTTGCATTAATAAACTTGGTACATCTAAATTAATTAAATTATTTGCTGATGATTGTGGAATAATTTTACTAGAATTTGATTGACGCATAAAATGAATTAGTTTAACTTGTATAAATGGTTGGTTAGTAAGTGAAGAATAAGAATTTTTATCATCATCCGCATTATTGTTATTGCTGTTTCTGTTATTTACAATATTAGTATTTTCGGCATTTTCAGTAAAGTCTAAATCAAGATCATCAGATGACCCTTCTAAGAATATTTCACTATCCAATCCGTGTAGATCATTAGTATCCAGACGATCTGATTTAAAGTGATTCATTGAGATGGTTGAACCGCTACCAGAACTAACACCAATAGCATCATTGTTATTAACACTGAGGAAATTGTAACCACTTCCCGGGGAGTGATTCTCTTCAACAATATATTCCATAATCAATTCAGCGACATTCATTAAACTGGAAAAAAAAAACAACAACAAACAAACAAAAGTGTTGTTTAAATAAAGACAGGAGAATTAGATTATCATTAGTTAATCACATCATTACTGGAAGTTAGAAAACAAAACACAAATCATAAAACAATAAAAAACAAACACTAGGAACGCAAAATTCACATATATGTGTGAAACAAATCGGAATGAGAACAAAGGCTGTCGCCAGCATAGTACAGAAAACGTCATCACAGATATTCGCCGTTAACTGCGTAAGAACGGTGACAGAACACCTTTAAAGCAGTCAAGCGTCGTAACATGGGATATAATTACATCATTCCTCTAGGCCTGTAATACAAGACCAAATACCTGAGGAGGTTCAAACTGCAGTTGACTACCTACGTTATACCTATGTAAATGTACTGAAAGGAAAGCGCGGCAGGTTTGATTCGTGATAGCGTATATCCTCACCTAACAACTCGATTTAAATGATTGGCCAGATTTTATAAAGACTTTTGGTAAATACAATATCAGTATTGATTATTTTTGTTTTAATTCCCTGCGTTTCGAGTAGAATAGAGCCATTCAGGCATTGAAGTCCTAATTTTTTTTCCTTCACGTTTCCCAGTGGAACATAGGGCTCCAAGCTAGTGGTTTGAAGTTTCTGTAGCGGTGTTAACTTTACAGGATGGGGTTGCTAGCCTCTTGCCCAACCTTTCCTCTTTACCAGCATTATTTCTGGTTTATCGAGGTAAAGGAGTGCGTCGGCCGGGGATTTAACCCCGGATCTTGTGCATGGTCGGCGAACGTCCTAAACGCTGTGCCACTGACGCACTATTGAAGTCCCAATAGAAGTGATGTCACTTTTCATGGAATATAGTTGCTAGCCTTACTCCAGTCTTTCGTCTTTTCCAGGCTTCATAATGGCTAATAAACTAGGCGAGATTTAACAGTGCATCAGCCATTTCGGGAATGGAACCTGAACCACGCACGTACTTGGCTGGCGAGCATTCTACCATTAAACTACTGGCATCCATAACCACGAGTATTTATCCCACTTGACAATATATAAATATACAAATAAATTATAAATCTATTGTTATAAATCATACCGGCGTGTTGTCAGCTTTGACCACTTTAAAACAAATCAGTCAGCTAGTGAACTTAAGTCATATTTTAATCACATTGATTCACTCTTTTTCCCTTCGTATGAAAAACAATGCAACAGGTAAAATTAATCTATGTATATAAACAGATAATTCATTATAAAAAAAGGTATATTCAATCTATTTGTAAATCTAATAATAATAATAATGATTGGAATGAAAACTCCATTGATTCTCTCTTCATCGCTGTTACTGTACAGACATTAGGCTAGGATGTATATATTTTATCTGTTGAGAGAAATACTTTCTAGGAGAGTATCTGTTCTTGATTCCCTAAAGAAAGAAAAATCCGATTTTTACAATTACAATCAAGAGGAAAATGAAGCAGATTTTCATCCTACAAAAAAGATTACCCTGTATCGTTATGTATTCCGAATAAGTAATCACATTAGAATTAAGAGATAATGAAAAAATAAACAACAGCAACATTTATGAACATTTTATTGTATTCATCTTTTTTTTTATTACAGCTTGATTCCACACAGTATTTTTGGTGCAAGTATGGAATTTTCAGCATCGATATCGGTAGCCCAAATTTCGCAGGCCGACCATAGATATCAGGTGTGCGGCGGCAGGGGATCGAACCTCGGACCATGTGCATGGTCGGCGAGAGTCCTAACCACTGTACCACCGACGCACTTGTAATAGAATACAAAATAATTTCATGCATAGAATGGACTGGTTATTCTCAGTTAAGGTATGTCCAAATTATATCACAGTGATTAATTATACATTTTATTGTTTTGACTTTGGGAAAATCTTATGAGATGAAAGAAGAAAATAGGGAATTCATCTAATCTTGTAAATGTTCTTTATAATGTGTTATGCATAAGATGGTAATGTTTTTTGAATAACCCTTTCATCATCGTCATCATCATAATTTACTGCTTCTAATCATAATAATAAACAACTTCTTAGTATTCGGGTATTGGTTTGTGAACATTCGGGTGATCGGTTACCGGATTTCATCATGAGTTGACATTGGTTAGAGAATCATTGGAAAATCTGGGAGTACTGGAAGTCGTGATCAGTAGGGTGCAGCAGGTCAGGTGTGAGGAAAAATACTCCCCGAAGATATTGGCTAGCGGTTGTGCTATATCGTGAATTGGCAGAAGTTAGAATTCATCGGCCATTGGATCAGGTCCCAGTGGCTTAATGGTATACAAGCTCGCCTTGTAACCAGGAGGGTGCGTACTACTGAAGAGTCCCAAACTAGGACGAAACAGCCGTCCAGTACTCCCAGGTTTTCCAATGGTTCTCTAACCAATGTCAACTCATAATGAAATCCTGTAACTTCTTGGTATTTTATCTTAATCACTCATCCTGGGTCTTATTGGTAACTGAAATTTTTATACATATATTCATCTGGATTTAGTGTTATGTTATTTCTGTTATTGTGCGTTAGATTTTTACCTTAATAAATAAATAAATCTAAGAATAGTGATTAAAATCGGATAGTGAAAGTCATGTATCACGAGTCCTGGAACTAATTTGACAATGACTGTAAGCAATAAGTTGTGATGAAAGCATTAAAAAAATAAATAAACGCATAAAATATGAAACTAAACGGACTAATTGTTTGTTAAAGCAACTTTATGGAATGCCATTGTATGAATTTTTCATGAGTTGGAATTCTTCTTAATTTGCCTCCGTATTAGTGAATTCACACTTTGCTTAGCATTCGCATGGTGCTTTCCCCCATGCGGATTGAAGATATCTCCAGTGGCCTGCTTGAATCTCTGGGGTACCTAAATTTCCATCCAAGAAAATGCATCTTATTATCTTTAGTTCTTGTTGTTATAATCGTTCATTTATATTCATGGGTCTCCAAATGTACTCGAGCTTATTTTTAATTGGTTTGCAGCCTGGCCGACTATTCAACCCCTGAGACTCAATTCAATGGCTAGCGCATGAATCTCCAATTCCACCAATTCGGGATTCTAGCGCAACCACTAGCCAATGTCATCGGCAAGTATTTGTCTTCACATCCAACCTGCAGTACCCTACTGGTCACGATTTCCCATCAGATTGGTCTCAGTGGCTAAATTGTCTATGAGCTAGCCTTGTAATCGGAAGGTCCTGGGTTCGAGCCTCAGCAGGTGCGTACTGATGCAGAGCCCCAAACTAGGACGAAACAGTTGTCGAATACTCTTGAGTTTTCCAATAGTTCTCTAACCAATGTCATTTCACAATGAGATCCTGAAACCAATCATATCCCCGCAAACCAACACTTGAATGTAAAATATTAGCCTGATACAAATCAGTAACAATAACTACTGAAGAGAAAAAGAATTTTTGGGATTAGTAGAAATGACAAACAAAAGAAGTTACAATAATTAATAATAAATATGAAGAAATCATAGCTAAATCAATTTCTATTAATTAGTCACCCAACTTTATCTACGCCAACATGTGTATATTCATCTTTGTGGATTATGTACGACAGTAGGCATGATGGTTTGTTATCTGGTTAAAAATCAAACGTTGTACTTTGATGTGCTGTTCACATAGATGACATATCACTTATCAAATTCATTTTTGTTTTTTTGCCATGCACAAAAAAACATTTTCACTGGTATTTTTAAATCTCCTAGCCTCTTTATGAAACTATACACAAATCCTACAGACAAGTCAGTACTAGTAGCCTGCAAAAATCTATTCAACTTGATATATAATAAAAAAGGGTTAATTTTTGAATAAAAAGTGCAGCAAAGACACACACACAAAAAAAATGGCCAATGAAAGAAATTCCACGTAAATAATGGTTGTCTTTTTGTCGTAAAGTTATACAGTAGGAATATGAAACAAACAGTTCAAGTGAAGAAGAAGGATAAGATAATGAAAAGGAGTTTTGTTTACATTTAAAATGTACTGCCTGACTATAACGAGACACTATGATATACAAACCAGATAGAATAGACCAAATCAGTCTAATATATCAGTATGAATATGATGATGGTTATAATAGTTTATTCCTACCCTACGTTTACATGACAACTCTTCGCTTTTAATTATTATACTGCTCTTCTGTATTTCACTTATATGTGAGTGATTGTAAAGAATACGAATGAAACTGACTGGCAAACATGAAGTAAATAAGTCACCTTTGTGTAGTTAATCGAATCTTCATTTTAAATCAGTAGTTCGTATGAAAATTTGTAAGTAAATTTAATTGACAGGGAAATGAAACATCCTAATTCTTTTTAGAACATATGCCTCATTAAAAGTGGTATTATAATTATTCTCTTACAAACACATTACGTCATACTTTGACGAGTCATTGGGTAGTAACTGATGTCATGTGTGGTGCTATCCCAAACATGACTGATGGACTTCAGTCTACATTAACCCAGTGGCCAATCAAATTATCCATTATAGTCCTACAGGTACGAACTCCAATAGCTCAGTGATAACATTTCTGACTGCAACACAGGATGACGTGGACTCGAATCTTAGAGGAGGGAATAAGTTCCTTCAGGAATGCAGAATGCCTTTCTGACAAGCGTCAGCAAGCATGAAACCTAGACCCAGTGCTTTCTGCTTATCGCCTTCAACTATCCAAATGATGAAGTTATAGATTATATGAAAATAATTAACAGAAAGAGTAAACCACATGTGGCATTCGATGTGTAACGCTAGTGGAATCATCCTGTACTCCCACCGACTAATAATTTATTTTATGTACTTCATTTTATGCTGTATATATCAGCGATTGTGTTCAGTACAAAGGAATAAATACTATCATCTTCATAAGTACATCAGGTTAATAGATAATTTCCAGTTATACAAAAGATTTTCTGATCCGATTTCTTTCATTACAGAAGGATTCCACATAACACTAAAAGTATCGTTGGGATCA